GTTTGCCGTAATTTGTTTGTTTTGTGGCCCGAGCACGGAAATCGTTAAAATTAAATTAGTGCACAAATAGTTGGCAAAGCAAGTGGATAGTCAAAGCGAAACAAGTTATTAAATTTTGAGCTTTTCGTCAAATGGAAAAACAATCCCTTAATTCTCTCAAACTGGAGCGAAAACTAATAAAAAGCAAAACAATTCCGGAGCTATTCGATGGAAATAATGAAGAACGTGAGGCATTTGCCGGTTCTGGTTTAGCTGGCATATAAAGAACTCCAGAACCCCCCTTCCCCGCCCATGCAGGGCACATAAAAACAAATTTTATGACAAAAGTTTCGTCCTCGTTGTTCGAAGGCGACGAATGAAAAACCAAACAAAAGTGTAAATAAATACAAAATAAATTTGATGAAAATTGTGCAGAAAAGTTCATTTAATATGGATTAAAAGTTTTCTTGTTGTCTGGGCGAATCGTGCGAGCTGGCAAGCGAACTCCCTCGAGTTCGTATCTGTCTCTCCACGGCTTAATTCGATCCGATTTGATGGGCGTGGGGACTCGAGAACGGCCCCAAGCACTGCTTTATGATGATTGGCATTGGCATGCGAGACCACTGTCACCAGTAATTGGATTTTTAAGCAGTCGAACTCTTGATATTTCTATTTCTAAGCCGGCAAATTAAATTATATGGAAAGTTTGCAACAGTTATCCCCGGCTAGATGCCGCTGCATAATTCATTACAACTATGTGGAAATTTCGATAACTCACAAGTTTGGAAATTTGTGCGCAAATTAAATTAAGCTGTCACTGCCCAGGCCACACAGCCACCATCCACTACCCACTTCTCACTTCTATTTCCCCCCACATTCCCATCCGCTTTTCCTTTTTCCTCACTCACAACACTCAGGCCACAGAAACTTTCTTTGCAAAGTGTCAAGTTTCAGTTGTCGTAGACGTTGCCGAAATTATTTTTTGAAGTTTATTACACGGAGGCGTGCGCGTGTCCAAGTATCTCCCGCCCAGATATATGTACATATATAATGGCAACTCCTACTCCAAATCTAATTCTCTGTGTCATGTGTGTGATGCTCCCCGGTGCTTAGAGATCATTGACCAGTCCAGCTCCTCAGTTCTGACGTCCCAGAGTCCTGGACTCCTGGAGTCCCGGTCGTTGGTCAAACTTTTCCACACTCATTTGAAGCACTTGTCCGGCGATGACAAAAGTTGCCCAGTGCAAATTCAATAAGGCGACACTTTGCATAAACGAGGCAGGTCCGGCCAAAGTTTCCAGTTCGCCCCGAAAATCTAAAATGTTAAATGTTAATTTAATGAACCCTTTTTTCCCGAGGCCTGAGTGCGAAGTTTAGTTAGGGGGATTTTCAAAGAGCTTACCTTTACATGCCAAGGAATGCGAAAGGAACTTTGTTTTCTATGTCTGATAATAAAATATTCAGATATTCCAAAGAGCAATATATTTTAGCAATATCATAAGTATCGAATACTTTAATATTCGAGATTTTACATTATATAAATACCATGCGTCTGAGATTTTTGAGAGATGGACGTCTTCTCCATTTTGCCAGCTGCTGCATTTCCTTTCTGGCCTTTCCTTCCTCTTCCTCATCCAGATATATTATATATATTAAGCATCCCTTCGCTTTCGGCCCATTGTGACCGGCACTCAAGGAATTGCCAACTGACAACTGGCTTTCAGTCCGTTCGAAGGCATCACATCTCATTGCACTGTTTATTCATGAGGCTGCAACACTTTTCTTAATAAGTCTTCATGTCCCCTGTCCATTGTAAATTGTCCAGTGTCCAGAGTCCAGTGGAAGGGCCTCGGTGCAAACAATTCCGGATGAAAATGTCCATCTGGCATTGAGGTCCCGCATTTCGCCCATTTGCAGTTATTGTATGTGAAAAGTGTCGCATCTGCCGCTGGAGGAGACATCATGTGTGGGGGCTCAGCCTCGCATTTATTTATTTGCCTTGCGCCGAGAATATTTGTGATAAAAAGCAGGCCAAGCAGGACAACAGGCCAAGTAGTTTCTCTGTCAATTAAAATGAGTTCGAGGCGTGTCAAATCTCCCCCGGGGCGCCCCTGGATAAAATGTGACTCGTACTGGGACTGGACCACATCGCTTATCGGCGCTGCATTGTCATTACTCGTATTTATTGTGCACTCAGCCTGCCTCATTTGCGTTTTGCTTTAAGTGATGGCAAATTTGCTCGGCAGCGGCAGCGGCATCGGCAGCTTTAATGCGGTCCGAGTCGAGTCCTTGCTCTATTAATCAGAGCATTCATGCACACTTAATGCACATTTTCGTTAATCACGCTCCGTGCACATGGAACGCTTTTCGTCAGCACAAATATTACCATTGGGCGGCGATAAATATCGCACATCCGCCGTGTGTGCATCACGTTTATGGGGGTTTTCGAGAAGGCCCCGCGGGAGTCCTTCAATCACGCTTAATAACTATGCACTGGCAATTGAGATTGCTACCTGGTTTTATCTAAGCCCATAAAATTATTTGTAATTTATTTCAAATCAAGGGTAGAAAATCTATTCTTTATCATCTAAAGACTGATCGAAAAATAATTTATTTTAATTTCAAACAAGAAAATCTTAAAAAGCATCTTGATGCGATTTTCCCTCGGTGCAGCCAGCCATCCTGCACTCTGCTCTCTAAACTCTACTCGATGATATTGAGGCGAAAGTCAAGTGACAGTCCCCTCGGGCGGCGGGTAACTATAAATTTGAGCGGGAATCAATGGAATCAATTTACCCTGCTGGCCAGTGCAATGTCTGCTTTTTGCTGAAGTGGCGGCCAGAGGGGCTCGAAAGGGGAAACTGGGGATCTCGATTGGGATTCCAGTGACGGTGAAGCGATGACGCGACAACAGCGTTAGTTGGCCATTTGAAATGCACACTTGACATCCTGCGACACGCAGGTCAGGAGGATATCGCAGGAGGATATCGTGAGAAAGACAAACAGAGGGAGAGAGCTGGCGGGGAAATCAGAAATCAGGATAACCACCAACCACCGGCGATTGTGGCGGGGTTGGAAACATCATAAATAAATCAATTTGTAATTCGATGCGCGTAGCTAATTGATTTTAATTGTGCTCTGCGGTCTGTCAAACTCAATTTGGTTCACTCTTCGCCGTGCGTTGCGGATTTTTCCCGAAGCTTTGGCAGGACACGTACTCGCTGCCGTCTAATGGCACGTAAATAAGCCGCGGTCCAGTATCATTCGAGTATCATTCGAGAACATCGGGCACTGGACATGTTCATGCCTTTTCCGTGTTGCCGCCATCTGCAATGCAAATTAGTTGACTTCAATTAGCAGGCACTGCATCATTTCGCTGCAATTCGGCTTCTGTTTCGCACTGTTTTGGTATCGAAAACACAGGGCCGTGTCCTGCCAAAGAAATAAAGTATCTAATTGGCCCTTGCCAAAGCCCAGTTGCAATCAGAGCGGATGTTCGAGGGCCGGAACATGCGTGGCAAATGTTGATCGAATAATTGAAGGATCTTGTTGCTGTGCATAGGCTGGCCAGCTAATTGATGGATGCATATTTAAACTCGAGATAGAAAATTAAAGACTATTAATAAATCGAATGATTATTATAGTTAAACAAATACCTCGCTTGCATAATTTATTTTATTTTAAGAAAGTAGAAAATTTCCACACCACTGCTTCTTAGCTTTTTTAATTGCCAAGAAAAATACAGTTCTTGATAAGAATAATTCCACTATGAGCATTAGTAAGAAGAGATTATTTGTGGAAGTTCAATTTAATTAGTGAAAGGAGAAAGCCTAGTTTCCTGTCGAAGTCAAGGATTTTTCGAATTTGCAACCGACACAGAGCCGCATAACTTCAGCCTGTATTGTGATCCATTCTGTTGCCATCATTTTCAGAGTGGTTGCCATTATTTTGGAGCTTGTTTGTTTGCAATTTAATTTAAATACACAACACAGAACTTTCCAGACGCTGGGCAAACGAATGGAAATTTGAATGTATTTTTATATTTGCTCGCATTTATTTGCTAAAATATTTTCTATGCGAAATCACGCACAATTCAAATGTTTCTTTCGCCATGCAACTTTATAAACAACTATTCTATACGTAAGGGGATCCTTGTCTATATGTATGTGGCACAATTCTTTGTGATAACAGGCAGAGGAGAACGAACCCTCTTGGAAAAAGGAAAAGCAACGACTTCTCTCGGCCGCAATTGAAAAGAAATAACAAAGCGCGCTTCAATAATTTCGGAAAAGCGTCGGGGAAAACTAGGAAGCACAAAATATAATACAAAATGCGCATGCAGAACGGAAATGGCAAAAAAAGAAGGAAAAGTGCAGGAAAAGCGGAACGGGAGTGGGAGTGTGCATCGCATTGTACTAGATTCCTTCTTCTATATTTCTTTCACATCTTCCGCTGCGTAACGGCAAGTTTTTTCACACTTTGCCAGGCAAACTAAATGCAGACAATAACCAGAAAGGGTGGGCTTCGAGAAAAAACTCTCCTTTGTTGCAAAAATGTTGAGTAAGAATTCCTAACGCCAAAAATCAACAGTGCAAATTTGTTGAATCGGAAAATCCCTTGGGTCACCGGTCATAAAAACTGGCCGAAATAGAAGAAAATGGGTAAGAGCTTAAAATTAGCATTTTATTAAATTTCATAATGACCTTGATAAACTTACCACAAGATAGTAAATTCTCCAATTTAAATAAAAATCCATTTGTGTTTAAAATTAACACACATTTTATTTAATTTCACCACCATTTACAATATGCCCATACGAGGCTTTGATTTATTTACTTTAAATTAAATTAATTTAATATGTTTCTTTAAATATATTTTACACACATTTTCCTCTCCCTTCGCACACTCATCTTTGATTTCGGGCTTTTATTTTTGGTTGTTCTGCTCTGTTTATTTATCTGTTCTGTTATTTTGCACATTAAAAGTAGAATCAGTAATTTCATGTACTTAGCATATTTTCGTTTTACGTTATCTCGTTCGTGTAAACATTTATATTTGAATCGTGTATGTCCTGCTTTATAGGTTTTAAACTCATCTGTTCGGCTGTCCAACCTCCGGTTTCCTTTGTTTACGACTAGGCTAGTTTATAAATGTTTGCTTAAACTTAATTTGTTTTTTTCTCTTTAGCTCGCTAGTAGACACCACATCTTCGAGTGTGGTTTTTGGTGTAAAATCAAAGTCAACATGAAAAGCAGTCATCGAAAGAAGATACTTGAAATTAACAATGTAGGGTGTTCACTGGACCTGCTTAAATAATAAATGCTGATGGCTAATGGATTCGTAGCTGACTAAGAACTTCAACTGGCTGCTAAAATGGTTTATTACGACTAGAATGACTTTAGGTATGTTCAAATGCGGCGTGATAAACTTTTAATCAAGCCCTCCGTTCGCGTTACGTACAAGTTGAGTGTGGATCACTTAAATACTTATTAATTTCTCAGGTCCAGCGAACTGCCCCCAGACAATTTAAATTACTAAGGGCTTTAACTAACTGGTAACACACACGCCTAGGCCAGATTTTCTGTCCGTGGTTCTGGCCAGGCCAGTTGCTGTCGCGACGCCTTGGAGGCTCTGCAGCTGGACAGAAGAGCTCGACGCTGCTCCTTTTGCTCCTTGGAATGCCTTGGAATCGAGTGCCTGACCTCTGACCTCTGGCTGGCATCGCAGGTCTCAAATGCAGCCTCAATTAGCCGGAATAAGCCAGCCAACATGGCCATTATAAGCGGCGCCATGTAGACGCCGGGCAGGAGTCGCGATGCCGCCGATGGCGAGGTCGAGAAATACGAGCTGAAAAAGTTCTTCAGGCTCGAGTCGGATGAGAGCGTAACTGCAAGCGGAAAACCGGAAGTGCCGGCAAAAGAACCGGAAACGGAAGTCAGTGCTGGGATCTGGCGTAATTGAGTCGCGGCCATCGGCTGGCCCAGCCAACTTACCACGTGCCGGTATCGGATCCTTTTGCGGTGTGCCCAGCTCGATTTCCTTGTACTGGTCGTACAGATCCCCGACATGCGCCGAGCAGCGCAGGACTAATCCTCCCGGATTCGGATTTGGAGCATAGACCGGACCGCCATGGCCGTAGACCGAGTTCAGACCGTAGCCGCTGTTGTAGATGGCCGGATTCGCGCTGGAGAAGTGAACGCCCTGCAGTTGCAGCTTCAGCGAGATCCGCGAGGCAATCAGATTATCGACGGTGCGTATATACTGGGTGTCCACATTGGTTATCTATTAGAAATAATAATTTTTAAATTAAAAAAAATATATTTAAAAGATATTTTACAAGAGGAGATGTTTCTGAATGAAGAATTCTGAATATTCAAAGTTAAATATTTCAAGCTGCTTTGTCGCTGTAAAATTCTTAATAACAAAACAAAAGAATATTTCGCATATAAGTTTAATTTATTCAAAACGGCTTAGGATTTGGTGTTTAAGGTCTTACACTTAAAATCAAGACACAATTTCATATTTTTATAATTTGAAAATATTGTTTTTTCACTGAAGCCTTGAATAAATACTACAACAAAGTCAAATAATTATTTGATTCTGGCAAAAAATGGTATTTAAAATAAATAAACTACTAACTATTCTTTAATGCTTTTTTTCGTTGGCTTTGAAAGTCTTATCATGATTTAAAGGCAAGTGTTTTCTCAGTGCCGGACGAAGCGTACAAGGGGATTATAATTTTAGACTGCGCCTGTTTATTTTACGCTCGCAAATGCATTTGCATATTTTAAGGCGCTCGAGGGGGTTGGGGGCTGTGGCGAGGAGAGGCTCCAGCATTTGGCAACGTTTAGCCCTCACGCTCGTAATACTTTTGTTTGTACTTCTCCTTTTGGCCGTTTGGACGGACCGAGCAGAAGGAAAAAACTTTTGCCAGCCAGCATCTTGTCGCCATTTGCAAGTTGGCACAGTTTGCCAAAGAGCAGTGGCGGCGGGGTGAGGGGTAGTGGGTGTTTTAGGGGGAGTATCGGGTAGTCAGGGGATTTGCCACATGTGCTGGGAGACACTTCTGTATGCATGGAAATTATGTATCAAGGAACTTTATCTGTGTTAATGCAATGCAGCAAAAAGCAGCGGCGTCTGAGCACAACACAAACACACAAAAGGATGGAAAAATGAGTTGGAAACTTTGGCTGGACGGAAACATGCCCTTCAAAAACAACCCAACTCAAATAAAAGCCAAGCGAAAGTGCTTGAAAAATTCAAAATCTGTACTATCCTTTTGAGGGTTTTTGGGGACTTTTCTAATATTTTATTTGTTTTTATTCAATTAATGAAATGTTAAGCGAGGCTCCATTCTCTACTAAAATCCTTGAATTTATATTAATACTAAAGATTTTGTTTGAAACCGTTTGGCTTATAAACTATATACCCTCCAAGTACAGAGTGATCATAAAAAAGAAGGATCCTGAAGCCCACACAATTGCACACATTAGTGGCTGCAAGGACTGCCGCCAGGACATGGGACTCTCGACATGGAACTTGGGACATTGGACATTCGACATAGCCTGGCTAAAAAACGAAAGAGGCCAAAACTGTGACGCATTTGACGAAAGTTCGAGCCAGTTGTGTGCAGGCCTCGCCAGCTTTTCTGAGCCTTTGGTTCGGCGCTTCCGTTTGCCTGCTGTTTGGAACTGTATTTCTTATGCGCCATTTCTGCCATTCATTTGGCCAGCATCCGTATTGGTCCGCATCCCCATCCGCATCCGGATCTGTTTCTATATCCTAGCCAGGGCCACGTCCATGTCCTCGCTGCGTAAGTCCACTTTATTTGCGCCAGCTCTAAGATGCTTAAACTTGCATTTGGCTTAAATGCTGCCAGCAGCTCCTTCATGCGAGAACAGCTTTTATGCTTAATGGCAGTTATTTAGTGCAATTCACTGTAAAATTGTTGCCATAGGAGAATCTGCCACTCGCCATCTCCATCTCCATCTGCATCGCCAAGTCTCTTTCCTCTGTGTGTGCAAAAGGATTTGCGCTTTGATAAATAATTTTTCCCCATACGCATGTGCATGCCAAAAAGCAGATGTTTAAGCAGTAGAAGCACAAGTTCTCCCTCCATTTCCGTATTTTTCTTGCCAGTTTTCTTTATTTTTTTAGCCCGGTCTTCTCTCCCTCTCATATATTTTTAATAATTGTCTCTGAAGAATTCAGGCCCAAAACTTATGTGTGAATTTCGGCCATGGTTGCACTTCGTGTTGCAGCTTAGCAGCACTTTTTTGAAATTGTCAAAACTAATGGAGAGTGGGTCCGAGATAAGCCAGAAATAAAGCTACTTTATGAGACGCTCCGGATCGCCCGGGTTTCGCTATGGAACCCATTCAAGTAATCCGCTTTTTGCTTTATTTTATTTATTGCTGAAATATGAGCGCATTTGGGACATTTTTTGTTCAGAGAAGTTTTCGCAGCAAGGTATTCATTTATGAAAACTTATGTATACCTTTGCAGGAAGGTCACAGAATTCAGATTAGAACCCAAGAGAAACTAAAGCACTTTAATTTCTAATGTGGGAAAAGCTTTGAATCGCTTGGACTTCGATTTAAGCCCTGAATTGTTCTCCTTATATATATTTTAAGGCTGACTGGAAGTTATGAAATATTTTGTTTATTTGTATGACGTTTCCCAAGCTCATGAAAGAATTTGGGGTATTATTGTAGGCAGTTAGGCATATAACAAAAAAACTTTATCTCTAGAAGAGAATTATCTGAGCTAGGGTTAAATTTGTAAATAAGTAATTTAATAAGAAGTAAGGTAGTAATAATAAATAGGTTTTTAAAGTTCTTCTTAATCCATTTCTCCACTACATTTAACTATAAAATATTTCTTTCAATTGTTCTCCAACGAATGCACACTTATGTATTTTTCTCGTATTTATGTTATGCATTTGATATAAATATTCAATGTGAAACTGATTTGGTGCTTGAAAATGCAAAACTCGAATAAGAATTTAAGAGCTGCCCTCTATTAGTTTTACTTATTTATCTGGTAACAAGACTGAATAATATCTGAAATTTTGGTTTTTACCAATTTTGTTCCCCCGTGCCACTTGGTTTGCAGGCATAAATTTCCATGCGTTCGTTCAACCGAAACCCTGCTGGCTCCGCCCTCCCAGACGATGCAAAAATACAATAAATATATTTTATATTTCATCCAATATAGTGCACAATTTGTCCCTCCGCCCTATATATATATATATATATGTATGGGTCTTTGTGTGTGCGATGCAATGCCAGCGTATCAATAACAAATAAATTGTGGATAGCACTGCAATATCTCTGCGAATGGTTACTGGTAACGGGTAACTGGTAGCTGGTTTACTGGCTGCCAAGAGTGCTCGGAGGTATGGCATATAGGGCAGGGCAGAGCAAAAACTATGGCATCGAGGAGCTGCCAACTGCTGGCTCCGAAGCTTTTTTCAATTTTCCGCTAAATTTGGCAGGGCTCAAGTGCTATTTGTCTTCATTAATGCGAATGCGCCTAGAACTTTGGCAAGCGCCCTGCAAGATTCCGACGTTCTTCCGACGGTTCGTTCAACCCTGATGATGGCAAATTCTGCGTGGCATTTTTAAGCCGACGCCAAATGACATGCAGCAGTTATTAATTGGCAATTTACATGCGGAATGATTAATGCCTGGGCCCCAGGGCGGAAACAGCCAGGAGCCCGAAATGGAGCCATAGCAGCAGTCTTAAACCGAAGGCACATATGTCACCGGGGTGAATGTTAAGTCACACATGGGGCCACAAAAATAGAAACAAGCATTTTGGGAAATAAAATAGGAAAATCTTGAAAGGCACACAAATATATTTTAGCTTTTCTACGAAATATTTAATGTAATTTTAATTAATTATATTTCCCCAATTTTTTTGAAATATTTAAATATTATCTGATCTATTCTTATCTATTATGATTATCTATTTCCTTCAATTTTCTTGGTTATTCCTTAGTTATAATCTTGACCTCTGCTGTTTATGTGTTCGAATGGTTCTCAGGGCTTTGAGCGGGGGGGAGTTTTGGGTCCGGACCTCTTGCAAATTACTCCTGTGGCATTTCACCGCAAAAACTTTTGTCAACAGAAAGTTGTGGCTCCTTGCCGGCGCACCTTTTAACGTAAACTTTGCAGGAAATGTCGGAAGTGCCTGAGTGTGTGCGTGGGCGGAAAACACACCCAGCACCCACACCATCCCCTCCTTGTTGATTTGCACAGCATGAAATATTCATTTGTTTCCTGTGATCGGCAATTGTAATATATCTTCCTCCTGCGGTATCGTTTTCTACTCAATTTTAGTCAATGTCTGCCACGTTTGCTTACTGTTTGTTGTCTCTCAGCCATTGGCTGCCATTGCCAAAAGTTCTCGATGTCCTTGCAGCCCCCTGTGCCCCTTGTGCCCTGCCCCCTGTGGACCCCTTTGGCACCCCTCAACCCAAGACCCCCTGTAGCGCCCCTGTAACCCGCAACAGCCCCACCGCACAGCATCATTGGCATTTGGAGAGGCATTGCCGATAAGCTATCATTTCATTTCCAGGCAACACAACCCGTTTGAATATTCTCCCCCAGAAATTCCCCTTCGTTCCGGCTGCGAGTTATTGCGGTGCAAATGATTTGAATTCATTTATCATGTTTAATGCGAGATTGCCAAGTGCGCTTCTGGAATGTGGCAACCATTTTTCAACGGCATTGACAACAGCACAGCCTTTTTAAGACTAATAGAGAGCGCTGCCTTAAAGGGGATTTGAGCTAATAAAATCAGCATCCAGAAACAGGCGTTGCTGTCCAACAGACTTTATATAGATACAATAGAGAGAGCTACCTTAAAAGAATTTTATTTCGAAATATTTATAAATACTTTCTGCTTGCATTTTGTGGTTTAGTTTTCCTTTTATTGTAGTGCATGGCCCCGACCTTTACTCGGTGATAACGATATGAACTTAAATCCCAGGCAGTCCACACACGCACCGGCTTGGTTGGTTTTTCCACCCGCATAATATTTTCCCAACCGCAAACCAATCAGAAGCTTGTGCGATAGAAAATTATGCATTCATCCTAAACTAAAACCCAGCCATAAACAATTTGGCCAACCGCTCAGCAGAACTCATCTCCAGCATAGCAAGCAGCTCGAAAATCAAGCTAGGGAGGATTATGCAGCTGCACTTGCCGTTGAATGGAGAAGGAGAAAAAAACGTGGAGAACCTGTTAAGCACGTGGATTCAGGGTCCACAGACTCCTTAGTTTCAAGTGGCTCTGGCCCAGACACAACCCTTTTCAAGCGCAAATAGAGCGAAAGGCAGGGGATTCGCCTTGACCGATTCTGAACCTGAACTGCTCTTGACATCGGGGCCTGTGTCGAAATTATAAGCAGGAAAATAAAGGGGAGCAAACATGTGGCATGCATATTCATAAAATTGCAATGGAACAGCTCGCAGGACAACAATGGCAGCACGACAGCAAACCAAGAGTGAAAATCCACAAGGAATGACAGCCATGAGAGTTTCGGAAGGAGCCAGCTCACAGCTGCGACGGCCCTCGATCCTCAGCGTTGGCATAATAGCTAGTAATAGCTATCTTCTAGCCCGGAAAAATAGTATTACAAAGCATTATTCTACATAGGATGAGTATGGCACTCGGTGTTCACCACTACTAAATTTAAAAATATTAATTTTATCACATTTTCCATCGCAATCGGCCAAAAAATTAAATAAATTGTTCTATTATAAAAATATCTTTTGGTAGCTTTAAGTAACAATTAAAAATAGACTTTTTTGGCTAAAAAATTGCGACAGCACTGGCAGGCGACAATGGATATGGGGTTCTGCTTGCGACCGCATAGAAATCTGTACTTCACAGTAACTAAATGACAAAACGGGCTTTCGGGCCACAGATGCGGCCGCCTTGCCTCCTCATATGCATTGTTAATACACATGACAATCCTTACGCTGGCAGGCTGTGAAATTGCGCATACGCCACGTTGACGGATGGACGAGCCCCCAAGGCAAATGCTCGCAAAACAAAAAACCCAACAGAAAATCAAAAAAGAAAGAAAACGGAGCAGAACCCTTTTGATTAAAGTCTTGTCCTAGCCCATTTTCATGTTCATTTCTCAGCAGAATAGACAAGCACTTCAAAGGATCTGCTCGGCTTTGAACACAAAATAGCCGCTGACCCGCTGTCAGATTTGTGTTCCACTCTCCCCGGGAACATGAAATAAATTGAAGCAGACCGTCCAGCCAGGTCGGTAATATTTCATTGGAGTGATTGCGGAGCCGAGGCGAAAGTACTCACCACCATGTTGTTGATGCTAAATGTGAGTTCTGCCCGCGGACGCGACGGGGGAGTGCTGCAATTGGCCCGCAGGACATCGCCGGGCTCGTAGCGCGTGTGTTCCGTGAAAAGCTGCGGATGCTTCTCGGGCAGCTCTGAAAAATAGGGAAAACGTCATCGAAACGGTTAATAAATTTTGTTACATTTTTATTTTTCTAGCACTATAGATTATACGTTTAGAAAAATATATTCGTTGTCGAATATAAACGAAAAACAATAAAAAAATTACCTTTTTTTCATTATATTTTTTCAGAAAAGGTATCAAAACAATGCTTAAAATAGCCCTGGAATATTATACAGCGTTGAGTCAAAATAATGAAACCCATTATAAAAAGTGTAAAAATTAGGGACCATTTTTTAATCTACCCCAAAATTGATGTGGATTGTAAGCTTATGTTATTAACAGAACAAAACAGTCAACATTTTATCCTTAAACCGAACTAAGTATAAGTGATTGGCATTCAAAGCATACTTTCATAAAGTCAATTTTAAAATTCCATTGATATTCCGATTTATGAGATTTTCCAAAAAAATGCAGATGACAAATTTGATATTTCTCCTTTTGGAAAATGGGAAAACCTTGAGCTGAGACAATTCAATTAGCTGACCCGACTGACACAAAACACATTAATAGGCGCATAAGTGGAGGCGGAAGCCCGGCGAACCCTTCAATCACAACCGCAAGACGAAGATCCTGGCTCTCGCCACGCCTAACTTTTTAATTAAGTCAACCGGGATGGAGCCAGGATGGGAACAGCCAGGCAACTACTACTACTACCACAGGACCCGGAGAGAGCAACAAAGTAACTAATGAAGAAAGTAATTTCCATGACAAAGGCGGCGGCAACTTTGCTCTTTTTCCCGCCTCGAGGCAACTTTCAGCTTTCTGGGTCTCTGTGTGGCTCGCTTCCTAATCCCCATCCTCCTGTCTCTGTCGCCTGCGCTTTTTGCCTTGCAGATTTTGACCTTTTTGCGGGCCAGCATCGAATGCCTCTTGGCCGGGCTTTTGCTTCGGCTTTGCCTTTGAGACTCCGCCGTCAAATTCCCCCTAATGAGGGTCAGTCTGAGAGTACACACTGTTAAAAAAATAGTGTACTTTGGACAAAATGCAGGGATAGTACTCCATTTGACAGCAATATTTTGTTCCATATACCAAAAGACTTTTAAAAATTATCTAGGGAATTTTTTGTGGTCTAGCAAATCTATTTATATTAAGAGTATTTCACCAAAACAATTTCAACAATATTTATAAATTATCCTTTCTGGCAAGTAAATATTCTTTATAAAATATTAGCATTATTCCTTAAAAAAATGTGTTAGTTCTTTCAGAGCCCAGTGTAATTCCGTCCTTTTCGGGCTTAATTTAGCAGCTGACCAGCCTACTTTGCACTTGGTTTTAGCCTTGACTCGTGTCATTAAGTTATTAAACTTAAGGCTGCCCAAATGTTTGCCAACTATAAACTTTTGACTCGTGCCAGCCGAAGAAGATGGGCGGCGGGTCTGTGACTTAATGAAAGCCCGAATTAGCATAACTTTTGGGTCCGAGCCACCCCCTGCCGCCCGCCCAGTTCCACCAGCCGCCACCCCCTGATGTCCTTGACGGCGGCTGAATGCCTCGTATTGCCCGCCCCGCAAGGACAAAGTGTTTATTTTATGTGCCACGCCGACGTCGAGACGCTGGCTTGCCTTCAACCGCCTTTCGGTGGGCTCCTCGCTGGATCCTTGGGCCGCAATCTGATTGCCACTTGAGCTCATTAACACACGATTAAACCTCAGAGTTATTTACACCAAGGACGAAGCGGCTGCATAAGCGAATGAGTGCGCACAACTAAACCTGGCTAAAAGCGGCCGACTGACTCAGAACTTGATGCATAAAACATCAGGCGGCCATCGGGAAAAACGGAAAAGTGGGAAAAACTATGCGCTGAATCGATGAAATTAAAGCGTAAGTTTACGCAGATGAGATGACTGTCAGTCGTTAAAGCCAAGAAAATCTGATTTACCCAACAAATACAGAGAACTGCATAGAGAAAAAATATTTGCCATTAAATAGGGAAAGAATTAGTGTAAGATATATTTCTTATAAATATAATAAATTAAATTTAACAAAAACAAACAAATAAATACAACTTTATTTTACCGCTGTTCGATGTTAATTATATATTATTTAAGAAGAGTTTTTCTTCAAGACTTTGTTTTGTTAGTAAAAAAAGTGCTTTGTTTTCATTGTGAGGTTTTTATACCCGTTACTCGTAGAGTAAAAGGGTATATTAGATTCGTGCAAAAGTATGTAACAGGTAGAAGGAAGCGTTTCCGACCCTATAAAGTATATATATTCTTGATCAGGATCACTAGCCGAGTCGATCTAGCCATGTCCGTCTGTCCGTCTGTCCGTCTGTCCGTCTGTCCGTCTGTCCGTCTGTCCGTCTGTCTGTCCGTCTGTCTGTCTGTATGAACGCTGAGATCTCGGAAACTATAAAAGCTAGAAGACTGACATTTTGCATGCAGATTCTAGGAGTTCCTACGCAGCGCAAGTTTGTTTCAAAAGGGTGCCACGCCCCCTTTAACGCCCACAATCGCTTATATACGCTTTTAAAAATTTCAATATTTTGGAAAAGTAAAAATGCAGTTTTATTGTGTTTCTTAATACCTATCGAAATGTAGAAGAAATTTTTTTAATCGGACCATTCGTTAAAAAGTTACGGCGGATCAAAGTATCTCCATCTCCTTCGCTTCCCTTTAGCTGAGTAACGGGTATCTGATAGTCTGGGCACCCGACTATAGCGTTCTCTCTTGTTTGGGTTAGGATTTTCCCTTTGTGTACCAACAATATGGTGTCCATGGCTGCTTCTGCCTGCTGTTGGCTACAGTAATTTATTGTTTAGCCGGCAAGTTATTGGGGTTTTAGTGTCGACGACATTAGGCCTAAGCCGCAGAAGCCCACAGCCGAAAACACAGCCAAACGAACTTACAGCCCGCAAGATATAGATACCACCTACCACCGAGTCGGGGGCATAACCGCCAAAGCCCGAGATTTGAGGCTGGTTCGGCTGGGGCTGTCAGTGTGTCAGTTCCCAACTGGCTTATCCAGCATTGATGTATGTATGTAGGTCCCAAGGACCAAGGACAGAGGGCCAGAGAGCAACCAATTAAATGCCGCAGCTTGTAATGAAACTTTAATCAGTTGCGAGGCGTCCTTGAGCGCGGCCTCATGAATTTAAAGCAAATACACAAATACGCGATCAAAGGCTTTAATCCCCAGATGCTAGTTACGCAAAAGCGGCCAATTAAATGGGCTAAATGCGGCGTTAAATATAAAGCAGACAGCTGGCGGGGGGCAAAAGGCGGTGGCGATGGCAAAGGCAATGGCAATCTAATAAAGGCCAGGCCAGAACCAGAACGGCAGACATCTGAATGTTTAATGCCGGGCAACAAGCAGCCAGTGAGCCATTAACCCAGACGAGCTCTCAATCAAACACACGCACACACAGCGGGCTTTCCTTCTTCCCTCCGAGGGAAGGAAGGACCCTCGAAAGGGGTTCAGGAATGGGAATGGCTGTGGATAAATCCTGCCCAGCAAGTGGCATAAAAATCAGCGACTAAAGCACAATTTAGCTGTCGGAGCGCATTTCTCGAATGCTTGAGGCCAAGCGGATAGATAGATTAACTCCGACGAGCGCTGAAGCTGCGCCATCGATTTAGGTCGCTTTACGCATACGCCCCATATGGCTGCAGGAACCGACACACACACACACACAAAATTCAGAACGTACAAGAGGATGCCCCATTGTTGTGCCTTTAAGAACATGCACTCTTGGTAAAATGAGGCTGTAATTTAAAAAATCTAAAAAGGTAATTTATTGATATAAATTGGAGAGTGCAATTGTGAAATCTCTCTACTTAATATCTGAAATGCACAATTTTCCAACTAATTTCAGAATTCTTTGAAGCCTGTTTAATGGCAAAATTAAACTTCTAGTGTAGCACTTTCGGCAGCTGCCGGCTGCTCAGCAGGCAAATAATTGTTAAGCCGAAACGGACTGGTGCTCATTGGATTTCATGACCCTGGCGCGCTGATTAAATTCGTAATTCAGAGCGCGCCGCTCCACGCTCATTTAAAGCGCATAAAGCCGTGAAATGCGTGGGGCACAGGTAAGACTACTAAATGACCCCAGACAGGAGCCCCGCCCACAACCACGGAGCCAAGGTGGTTCCTAGCCACCGAGCCACCGCCTCATTGCCGCCAAACCCGCTTATCTGGCAAAGACGAAATGGCCTGTTAATGACGCAATTTTCAGAGCAAAACTTTGGCAGCCAGCAGAAACAGCTGCTGCGACCTTGGGCCCGGCCAAAAACAAATTGCCAAGGAAGCGAAAAACTTTACCTCCCGGTCGAGAAGCGGCCACAGGATTCTGTATTCTGTACTCTAGATTCTCAGTTCTGAATTCTGGATTCAGCCACGGAACGCTGCCCCACGATCAAAGGCGAGCCATGTCAAAGGCTGCCCCGATATAGCTGATACACTCTGCGCTCCTTTGAAAGCTTTTAAGCGCACTTTAGGCCAATTTGGTTGAATCAGCTTAGAGTCAGACTTACCAACAACTTGCATGGTGTCCACTGCGGTGGCGGTCGAGAAGAGCGGTGCGTCGGCGGTCACTTCGCATGAAAAGTTGCCAGAGAGACCGAATCCCACGTTGCGCAACAGCACCTGGGTGGCATTAGAGCTGCTTACCTGTTGAGCAAAAGAGCAGACCCAGTATTTAAGCACGGGATAAGTAACAAGTCTGAGCACCCATGGAAAAAAACCGTTCTATAAAAAAAAAATTTACAACAAAAACCTATGAAATTATGCTTATTTACTGCTCAATAAGTCTTCTGTCATAAGTTAACATAGTTAGAATTTAATCTATATCTATATTTTATTATAAAAATATCATTAAGTAATTTTGCACCTTCTAAGGACGAGCTACATTTTAGTACCCACCTATAAAGTTCTTTGTATTCTCGCACTTTGTAATGTTATGCTGCACTAGGAAAAACGATAAATCGACACCCACCTGCAATCGCTCAGCTGTCCGCAATCTGACATCGAGTCCAACAAAGAAATGCACTTAAATTTATTAAAACAGCTTAAAAAACAAACAAATACAAACACAGCCAACAGCCACCAGTCAGAAGAGGAGGAAAAGGACAGAAAAAATTGCCTCCGGCTGTGTAAAGTAAAAGTTTTGGACGACAAAGTAAAAAAACAGCCAAATGAAATAAAAAGGAGAGTACAAAAACTAAAGATAAACTCGCTGGCACAAACTCAATAGCCTGATGAAATATTTAGCCAGATTCGGAGCAACTTTATCGAAGCAACGAAATTGCAAGGACCTGGTGGCAGGCACCCACACTACTACTACAACTACCGTCGGCTGGATAAACTTTTTCAATAATCTAGCCAAAGTAGAATTACCCCATCCGAGACTCAATTCTCCGACCTCAGCATCAGGCCCCCAACCGCCCAGTCTCCCAGCCACGCCCTCCTTCGCTCGGCAGATTGCAGTTTTTGCAGGTGGGCGACAAAACTCAGACGCAGCATGCAAAAATTTAAATGAAATTTTTGCCGCAGATAGCCGCGCGTTGATAGCGCCCACAAAAGCTGGCATTCCAGCATCCTGGCGTCCTGGTGTCCTGGCGGCCTGGCGTCCTAGCCAGGTGTCCCCTGGCATTTTTTGAATAACCGCCAATAACAATAAAACTGCCAAACTGAATATGCATGAGCGGAAAGTTTAAAATATACAATATAAATAAATGCAGTGTGCGCGCAATTAAGGACATCAAAGTGGAGCTTTTGGATCGGATCGGATGGGTCCGGTTGTTGGCTCCTTTCTGACTGCCTCCTCATCGACTGGCTGAGCCGAAGTGATTGACCAGCAAAAAGTGCAGCCTGCGGGGCCGAAATGCTTTAACGATTTGTTCTCCTGGAAAATTCGAGTTCCTTCAGAGGGGAATTTTTATCCTTTTTTATTCTTGTTCTTGACGGAAATATGATAATTTATTTATAACTTCCTTTCTAACCAATAAAAATAAATAAAAATTACGACGAAGCATTTAATTTATTATAATAAATTTGTAAAATCCAAAATTTCACTGAATAAAATGAATTTATTATGTCAAAATAATCTGGGATATCCCACGATGCGGTTCCAAAATCAAAAACCCCCCTAATAGGCACTTTTTAATTAAAACATATACTCACATCCACATGAATGCCGGGGAAGGGAAAGACCTTCGTGTTGGGGAACTCGCCGGGAGTGTAGCGGTAGAACTCCAGCTGGCCGCGATAGAACTTGGCCGAGTACAGTGGAGCCCCGTCCAGGTCGTACATGCAGCGCAGCACCACATGTTGGCCCCGTCGCACCGCCGGTGGTTCGATTATTAAATTGACATTGCGCAGCGCGCACTCGACGAGCTCTGGAAAAGCAAGGGGAAACGGAAAAACATAGGTGAAAAAATCGCTGATGGAATTACGCGCGAACGCAAAGCCGGGGGATTCCAATTTAGTGTATTTATTTTAATAAATTATTGAAATATTGTCCGAAAGCGGACTCGACGGCGACACTGATAACACATAATCCGGCGCTTAAATGCGCCGCAATTGCTTGCATTTCAGTTGCAGGCGTTTGTTTTTGGCATTGGTTTTCGCGGTGCTGGGATCGCCTGCGGCCAAAATGCTTAAAATGCCATGCAAATATGCTGAAAACTCAATTTAGCTGGTCAATTTTTTTTAATACCCTTCAATCGTTATTAGTATTTGGGCTCACTAGTTTGTCTATATCAGTTTCAAAAAAATATATTTATACCCTTGCAGAGGGTATTATGATTTCAGTCAGAAGTTTGCAACGCAGTGAAGGAGACGTTTCCGACCCCATAAAGTATATATATTCTTGATCAGCATCACTAGACGAGTCGATCTAGCCATGTCCGTCTGTCCGTCTGTCCGTCCGTTTCTACGCAAACTAGTCTCTCAGTTTTAAAGCTATCGGGATGAAACTTTCGTAAAAGTCGTATTTCTATTGCAGGTAGTATATATGTCGGAACCAAACGGATCGGACAACTATATCTTATAGCTCCCATAGGAAGGATCAAAAAAAAAAAAACGTAAAAAAATTCTAGCTCCGGTGTTTTTTGAAATTTTACCTTCTACTCTTGGGAACAATTTTTTTTATATATTTCTGAATTTCGGTTTTTTTGTTTTTTAAATCGGATCAGTATATCATATAGCTGCCATAGGAACGGTCGAAAAATTAAATGGAAATTAATGGGAAAAAAATTATATCTTTGTTGGTTTTTATTACAGTTCCTTCTACTCTGGGATATGACTATTTTGAAATATTTCCGAATTTCGATTTTAATTTTTAAAAGATCGAACTACTATATCATATAGCTGTGATAGAAACGATCGAAAAATTAATGTGAAATAATAAGAAATTTAACATTTTTGCGATTTGTAAATTAATAGAATGATCTGCAAGGGTATACAAGCTTCGGCTTGCCGAAGCTAGCTTCCTTTCTTGTTTTTTACTTTCTTTTTTTAGGTTTACTACGAATTTAAATTTTGTTTAAGATTTATTTTAAAATATTTGTACAACCTTAAATATAAAAAAATGATTTTATACCATCTTAATAAACTGGTAAACTGTTCAAATACTCTTCATGAAATCTAAAACTCAATAATAGAAATGCAATATAATTCAAGAGTATTTAAAATATCTGACAACAAAAGCCCCAGCCTCGCCTTGTTTTTGTTCATGTTTCTCGACAACTGATTGTTATATTTGGCGCGTAAATGATTTATAAATGTTTTTTCAACCATCGAAAGCTTGATAGATTATGGTGGGATTTCGATGGGGCAGTTATGCAAACGAATATTACTAAATTGAAAATATTATAACAAAAACGGTTTGGCCATTTGTAAGCCCAAAACTGAGGCAGATCGTAACTGAATTTTAATGGTAAGCCAAAAATGCCAATAGAGGGGCGCAACTAAAATGGTGTATTATAAATCATTTCCAGCAGTCTTTAATGTTTAAGACAAACGTTTTTCTAGATTTATGGATCTTGGGCCTGAGTTTTGCGCGACCTTCACTTACTTAGGCAATTTTCTTGTTTGCTCGCCAACTTTTATTAATTACCAAACAATCAACGCCAATTTCCGGCAACTTTATGACCGCCCATTTCAGAGTCGTTTGTCAACAAATGCGTAGCATAACTCAAGGCGCCAAGGCAGTGAATCCTTCTCTCTCTCGCTCTATCCCTCGGCCTGGCCAATAGTTCTGTCCCGCTCTGGAGATGGTGTTTTACAAGCGTTTGCCAGCATTTCCAACATAGCCTAACAAGGCACTCAAAAATTTTTTATATCTTATTTGGGTCACATTTCATGCGGCTGTGCCCTTAAGAATAATGGCACATAATTTGCGGCTTTCCCAACAGTCCCTTTGTGGGAAGGGAAGAGGGAAAAAGTACGGAAGAAAGCCGGAGAAAAGTCCGTGGAATTCGAGGCAAGGATTCGGTTCCTTGTAAATCTCTCGCGAGGCGAATAAAATAAAATTGTTTTCATTCTTTTTCTACATGCCAGCCAGCTGTGCGTAATTCATTACCTTCGGGAGTTGTTTGCATATCGGACGATATCTTTGTCGACTGCATGGAAAATTCCAGGGAAAATCAGCATGATTTTCATTATGCCAATGCCACTGTCGAGCTGTCCTTTAACATTTACTCCATTTGCAGGCTGTAAAATGAATTCTTGCACATTGACCTTAATGACCAGCGGGGCCTGTGTGCATAATTGGCCCTCTGCCTCTGAGTCCTGGCCAGGGACACTGGTAGCCAAGCATGAAGGAATTACAAAAAAGGAAGGTTGCAGAACTATAGCCCAGTGTAAAGACTTTAAGCTATCTACTCCTCTTGGTATCTTAAAAAATTATCGATGTAATTTGAAATTATAAAAATTATTTTAAATAGTGTACAAATTTATAGGAACATAACTGATTTAAAATTTATCTTTGTATATCCTAACACATTGTATATCCTACTCACATATTTTGTGTTCTACAACCTTTTCTGTATACTTTTTCATGCACGATCTATATACCCTTAATCTCTACGAATACCTGGTGGGAAAACACCTGCCTTAACTAAAGCACTACCTTAAAGTCCTTGCTAGCCGCATAAATATTTGCACACTGAAATCGAAAATTCCGCTTGTTTGCCAATTGAAAATTGGAAAGTGTAGTTGCCGGATCCCGCCCGCTGAGAGTTTTCCCAGCAGCAGCAGGAGCCGGCGAAATGCAACCGCAAATACTTGCTTATTGCTGGGAAAACTTTGCTTGTTAGTGTTTAGGTGCAAGGTGCAGCAGCAAGAAATCATAGCACAGAGTTCTGGGTACTCGGCACTGGGTTCTGGGCCAAAGCAACAGAGAGCAGCCAAACAATGTCTATAAATCCACACGCACACTCGAGATATAGTTGGAAAGGTAAAAAGTTTGTGCAAAAGTCACATATTTGTTCGATTCTGCTAAGTGCCAGCTTACAAGTGCCTTGTCCTTATCCTTTTGCGATTTGTTTACATGGCAGTCAAAGTGAGGACCCCGGAAAAAAGAGAGGAAAGTATCGTCCTGGATTGGGGATTTGCCAGCCTGCTAAATATCAATGCACCTGGACCCTCCCCCTTCTTGTTTGTTTCCATTCTCGTTGTCTTGCTCCCTGGACTCCACCTACCGCTTTTCACGCTCTTTTCACAGCACTTTTCCGCACGGTTTCATTGTTTTCCAATCTGGCCGGAGTGCGTCATTCGTCGAAGCCGCAAGTGATACCAAATTGAAAAGTTAGATGCCATTTTTTGCCGCCCTTCCCGAAGGGCTGCTGAAAATTTACACTAACCACAGGTTGCTTTGGAAAAGTTTCCGATTTTTTACCCAACAGTGATAAAAAACCATGACCCATACAATATATAGAGATTACAATTTTGAATATTTAATAAAGTTCTTTAAGAAATGTATCTACCTACCACCATTTTTAATAACTTTTTGAACGAAATTGCCTTTATATTTTAAAAAGATTTCATCTGTTTTCATGTTTACAACAAACATTTTTTTTCAGTGTTGCCATAGGATACCTGAAAAGGGAACCACATTTTGTTCGGAGAATCTGTATATTAGTTTTAGTTTTAAACTGATCGATTGCCTTTGAGGACCTGCCGTAAACTGTGTTCAATTTGTTGCGAGTTGGAAACTGCTGGCTAAATACTGCGTTCGCTTACGGATTCCTGAAATCCTGAAAACGTGGCAGCCACCCAAGGCAAACAAGCAGCCGAATTGGAGTGGGCCCATATGAATATCACAGCATAATAATTTGCCGACTCGCTTTCCACATCCAAAGGACAGGAAGGCCAAAAACAAACAAATATCGGCCCAGCTGGCATGTAATATCTATGTGCATTCATGTGCACGTGTGGGTGGCATTGTCTCGGTATTTAATAGGCTTTTGTTGCAGCTTTCCATTGAAAATTGAGATTGTTGAGCCCCGCTTTGCTCCTTGGCATGTTTACCAGGAGTCTTCGTAACCATTCTCCTGTTTCTGTTTCTGTTTCGGTTTCCCATCAGCGTCCTTATTGCTTGACTGGCAGCTCATTGAAAGATTTATCATTCACCAGAAATAGCAAGCTTGAGGACTTAAGGAGGGATGCATGCACCGGGAAAAATACGGATTATTTCATTTTCTTCTTGAAATGAGCATAAAAACATTATATTCGCAGTTATGCAAATTTTCAAAACATTTTCATTTATTTTTAATGTAAAATGTTTTAAATTATTACCTAGTTTGTTGTATTTATATCTTAGAATAATTAGCAATAACTTTTGATAATTTCTTTTATTTTTTCCAGATCTTTCTTAATTATTTTTCGGACAGTATGCATTCGCCAGTGTATCGCAGATGACGAGCCACCTGTCCGGGGTCCTGATTCCCGACCGTGTTGACACAGCCCACATGGGCGGCCCAAACACATGCATAATGGAATTTCTAATAACTGCCACAGCTCCCCGACTCGACTCCTCCACTCGACTCGAATGGAGAATTGAGAAGACCAGAACAGGAGCAGCCAAGCCTTCCTGATGGGTCAACAGCATTTAGTGACAATAAGCGTGCTGCAGTTCATTTGCTCAGGCGGGTCAAAGAGCGGTTCGTGTGTCGGTTTGCCTTCGGTCAGGATTGAAATGGCTGGCCAGCTGGATGGCTGGCTGGGTGGTTGGTTGGCCAAGTGCACTTAGTCAGGCATCGACGAACATGCACTTCAGCAGCCAGACTAGAAATGGCAGTGAAACCCCCACCAATCGGAGGCAAAGCAATTTAATTAACATAAAAAACGCAACTCGCACAATTCGAAACCATAAATCAAAAACCCGCACACGCCC